ACGCGCCACCACAAAACCAAGTTTATGCTCGATTCATTTTAGCCTCGAAAACTAAAGAACCGTTTGTGATTTCGCTGTTTCCATGTTTTTGACGTGAAAAACCGCGAGGTGGTTCGGGTGTTCGGTCGTTCGCAGATTCGACAATTTGTCCAAAATCGTGTAACATTGTCTTTTTAGTTATATTTATAGATAAAAGTAAATACGTTGATATTTCGATTCTTAAATTTTATGTAAGATTGTATGATGTCCGCAATTAAATAAAGTTTTTGCTTTTATTTTGAGTAGAAAATATCGTTATTTTGAGGTGGATTGTTGTTTTTCTTTGTTATCTATGTAATAATAAATATAAATAAATAATCGGTTTATTTTAATATGAGGTTATGTAGTATGTATGCACGTGAGATTTTACATAATATAATTGACCTTCCTTTTCACAGGTTTATCTTATATTATTTACAATAATATATCATGCTTAGAGAGAAGTAATTATTTAATAGGATGTTAATAATCCTGTGTCTGACTGAATTGCGAAAGTGTTTCTTATGAATTTCAGCCTATTTATAAAATTTTTTTATTATATATAGTACATGATATATTTCGTTTCTTATAATAGTGAAAAAAATAATTGCATTGTCGAAAAACTTCTTTATAATAATTGGAAACGCATTTGATGGTAAATTTTATAGATAAAAGTATTATGAAGATAATTTAATTTTCCAAAATGTACTCATAGTTAATATTAAAAACTCAAATTTCAATAGTTTTGAAATTGAAGTAATTGTTAAGGTGCTTATATACCTCAAATTTCGATCAGATGAACATTATTTCTGGACCGTGAAAATGCGTGAAAAGTCATTTTCACGGCGGGTATTTTTGAATTGTTTTATACAAAAAATGTTTTCTTAAGAAATATAATATTAAATAATTGTTTTAATATGTAAGAACACTTTAAAATAGTGATAGAGAGATGATTTGATTAAAAAATTTAGCAAATTTTGCTTTAAAACGTTTTCTGCTACAAGAAAGTGTAAAATGACGATGTTTGTGAAATGGTTTGTACAGAGCTTCTTCCTTGTGAGTGTCTCTCAGAGTTTTGTTTATGTTATGTCGGTTCTTTTTAACTTGTAATAAATAATGAGTGCTGAAAATAAATCGGTAAGTTGAAATGTTTATCAAATAAATTTAAATTCAACTAATTGTTTCGAATAACTGAAAGAAACATGTACACATGTACACTGTACAAACCATTTCACAAACATCGTCATTTTACACTTTCTTGTAGCAGAAAACGTTTTAAAACAAAATTTGCTAAATTTTTTAATCAAATCATCTCTCTATCACTATTTTAAAGTGTTCTTACATATTAAAACAATTATTTAATATTATATTTCTTAAAAAAACATTTTTTGTTTAAAACAATTCAAAAATACCCGCCGTGAAATGACTTTTCACGCATTTTCACGGTCCAGAAATAATGTTCATCTGATCGAAATTTGAGGTATATAAGCACCTTAAGTGTTAATTGCTGCGACGAGAGTTTTTTACAATTCTCTTTTTTAGAATAATTGAGTTTTAGAGAATTCTCAAGAAAATGTTTTAAAATTATTCAATTTTAAATCTTTATTAAAATTATTAAAAATGAATGATTTGAAGACAATTTTTTAAAACAATTAAAATTTGAAAGATTATAAATTTTATTTTTTGATAATATAATAATGAAAGTTTTCAATTGAAAAAATTTAAATTATTTGATTTAAATTTATAAAAATCTTCTAGAATTTTCTTTGAAAAGTTTTTTTAGAAGTTAATATTTTGAAAAAATTTATCTTTCATCTTTCTTTAATGGAAATTATAAAATAAAGAAATTAGTTAGGATCAGCTGGGGTAAATGGAAACACATTTGCTATATTTCACCAATAACATAAGTTTTTTCTTTTAAATCGCAATACTTTCGGGTTTTTTGTGTATTGGGTTATTATTTCACTTCCGTGGAATAGTTTTATGGAGTAGTAAAAAATTTGGGTATCATTAAATCGCAATAATCATCTGTTTCTATTTACCTCTAAATTAGAAGATAATAGAAATAGAAACAGATAATTATTTCTTACAAATTTTAAGAAGAAATTAATTTTAAGTATGCAAATGTTAAAGGATACAAAAAATTACGTAAAAAATTGTATTTACTTTTATCAATAAATATAACTAAAAAGACAATGTTACACGATTTTGGACAAATTGTCGAATCTGCGAACGTGCGAACGACCGAACACCCGAACTACTTCGCGGTTTTTCACGTCAAAAACATGGAAACAGCGAAATCACAAACGGTTCTTTAGTTTTCGAGGCTAAAATGAATCGAGCATAAACTTGGTTTTGTGGTGGCGCGTAGAAGCTTCCGTAGTTTATAGTTCTGACACTCGGCTATGCCACAAGTCATTTAAGAAGAAGAAGAAGAAGGAGAAATGATTTTTAAGTTATAAAGATCACAAAATGAAAAGAATTTAATTAAAAAATTTAATTTTTTATTGAAAAGTACGAATTTAAAGTATATGAAGTGCTGAAAACTGTCAATTTTTTAGCCATTAGAAAATATGCAAAACAACAGAATTTACCATTAAAATAAAAATAAATTATTGGAGTTTACCAAGAATGAATGAATTTATCATCATTTATCAATTGATATAATTAATTAAAGATGTAAAATAATATATAAATATGATTTTAAAATGCACCTGTCAAATATCCTAATTTGGCGATTTTTATTCAGTAATTATACAAAATAGGAAACATTAAATTAAATAAAAACTTACCAAATATGAAGTTCTTATCAAACTTTTAGAATTTCTTTGCACTTTTCTTCTCTTTTCTTCATAAATATAAAAAATTTTTAAAATAAAATAGCCAATATTTAGTGTCCTAATTAGGTTATTTGACATGTGCACTTTAAAATCATATTTATATATTATTTTACATCTTTAAATAATCATATCAATTGATAAATAATGATAAATTCATTCATTCTTGGTAAACTCCAATAATTTCTTTATCTTTATGTTAAATTCTGTTTTTTTTATATTTTCTAATGGCTAAAAAATTAACAGTTTTCAGCACTTCATATACTTTAAATTCGTATTTTTCAATAAAAAATTAAATTTTTAATTAAATGCTTTTCATTTTGTGATCTTGATAACTTAAAAATCATTCCTGTAAAGTATTTTAATTTTTAAAAATTAGTCAGCAACGACTTCAGTCGAAATATATTGAATTGACCCATGAACAATAACAAAACGAAATTCGGAAAATAAAATGTAGATGCTGATAAATAAGCAAACAATTATTTTAAACATATTAGAGCATTTTTTCGAATTTTTAAAATGCGCAGAACATAAAAAATTAATTGTTTATAAACAATTTTTTAAAAAAATATGAAAAAATTAATTTTTTTAAATTTTAAATGGAAATCTATTTCCTCACCTTTGTGTATATAACAGTCAAAAATAAAATTTATGTAATAGTTTTGATCGAAAAACAAAACCTGGAGCACAACTCTCCCCTATAATTATAGTTTTATATTTTTTAATGAATGTCATTTGCATACTCTTGATATTTTTTTACATTCTCATCACATGAGAAGGTATTAAAATTGATCGAAAATTGAATTTTTCTATTTTCATGAAATCTTCAAGTGTTGAGGTGCCCTGAAACGAAAAATCATGGTCCGGCGAATGTGTCTGTCTGTTCGTAGACACAAAATGTTGTTGACACAATAACTTTTGAAAAACTCATCCAATCAAATTGCCCTTTAACATAGATAAAATTAGTGTCAAAATGAAGGCTAAGTTCGTTAGCCAGCCATTTTCGACGAAAAATACAAAAACTAGAGCATTTTCAAAAATCAAAAATTTAAATTTTTTAATAAAACCATTTTTTTTCACTTCACAGTTTTATAGTTGAGGAGAAAGCAAACAACTTTTCTATGTGACATTTTTTGATTAAATTGAAATTGTTATGAAACAATTCTGACTTCAGATTCGTGTACAGTGCCTCAAAATACGTAAGGAAAGGGTATTCTGTTCCCAAATCAGAAAACTTTTTTTATTTTGTGTGGCTGTGTAATTAAACAGGCTTTTAAATGGTAATTACTGTTTAAAAAATGTTTTCTAACTGCACACTTCAATAGCTTAGGTGAAATTAAATTGTACTGTTTTCTGTGACATTTTTGTATTTAACATAAATTCAATAATTAAATAGCTTTAAATGTCAAAAATACCAAAACTTTTTTTGGGGCGGTATAGATTCTACACAAATAAACCCTACACGAGAAAATTGCGCACCGATAATTTTACAAAAAAAAAATCCTACACTTGGACAATAAGCAAAATAAAATTAATAACATAATTTTATTCTACACATTTAATTGCACACAGGAAAACCCTACACCGTTAACTCTGAAAAAAAAATTCTACACAATAATATGCGGAATAAAATTTAAAAACAAATAATAAAAATTCTAAACGATTAAATACTACAAAATATAACCGTACAAATTAAATTGCACTCAGGAAAACCCTACACGATTAACTCTGCACAACTCTCCACGGTTAATTAGAATTTTTTATATTCTACACAGTCGACATGGCAACCCTGTTTTTTTCATGAATAAACATACTTATGAGTAAGTATATAAGGTGCAGAATCTTCTTGTGCAGAGTTAATCGTGTAGGGTTTTCCTGAGTGCAATTTAATTTGTACGGTTATATTTTGATCGCTATTTTTAACATGATGAGGAAGCTAAATGGTCATGAAATAAACAATTTGTTTTAAAACTTAAACGGTAAAATAGAGTTAATTCGAAAAAATTGATTTTCGACAAAATGAATGAGGTATTTTCAATATTTGAGATAGCGACATTTGGGGAGATTAGATTCGAGAAATTAATCGTAAATAAAAAATTTAATATATTTAAATTGGATAGATGATTAAGATAAAACAATAAACAATTTTCTTATTCACGTTTATATTTATTTATTAATTATTTCGACGGAAGTCATCATACTTGAAAATTTAATAAAAATATTCACAGTGAGCACTCTTTCTCTTCCTTACAATCGCTTGCAAACGCTCTTATCAATTCACGCTAAATTTCTCTTTCACACATATTAGTTTCGTTCGCTCAAGAATTTTCTCATACTCCATGCATTCATTTTCTTTCGTTCTGTAAAACGAACGGCGACTTTCGCAATAAGTCATTAACACTTAAAAATTTTTCAATCAATTTTAAGAATTGACTTCAATTCGAAAGGGAACGCATTGTGTTGTTACTCGGGCTTTGCGTTTATGAATTAAATTGTTTGGAGAAGTATTGTATGCAATTATGTATATGTACATTCATTTACTAATAATTATTATTAACAAGAATAATTAATACAAATAGAAAATCATAATTCAAGATGAATGCTTTCAATTTCATTAAGTTTGATTAACATTAATTTTCAAAGGAGTCTTTATCTCATCCATTCGTTAACAGTTAAAGAAATATTCAGAAAAAGTTTACCTTTTTTCTCAAAAATTTTCTGATATTCATCGCCGAATACATTCAAAAATTCTCACTATTAGATAACAAATAGTTTTATCATTCTCCAGCAAAAAGATTATCCTTATTCTTTTCCAATTTTTTTTTCCTTTATTAACTATTACTTTTCGTATTCCTTCTTTCTTTCTCTCTCTCTCTCACACACACACACAGACACACACACATACATCCACACACATTCTCCTTACTGTTTTTCTATCCAATTATAATTAATTATTCAGTCGAGAATAACCACCATATCTTCGCCTCGAGCTGATCTTTGAGAATGAGTTACATGAACAGGAGCCGACAATCTACGCCATGGTTTTCGTGCTGCTCTTCGTATCTCGATAGACGACAGTGTTCTTCGAAGTCTTCTGCAATATGAAAAATGAGCAATTCGCAAATTAACAAATAAAAAAAATTCTACATAATTTAACAAAAAAAACTGAATAAAATATATACTTTTAAATAGCCTCAGATTACTAAAGAATCGTCATATAATATAACGGGATTAAAACAAATTCGGTGTACAAAGATAAAACTTCATTGAAAATAATATTTAAATTGATTAAATAAAAAACTTAAAATTATGATAAAAGTCTTCTGACATAATCCATTCGAATAATTTTAAATTCAGTTTAATCGTTGTAAAAGAAATTATAAAGGATGTATGGACTCTTTCTTGTAGTTAATTTTATTTTTTTAACAACGAAAGGATCAGATTTCTTCTAGAAGCTAAACAAAAAGAAATCAATTATCAAAGTCCGCTTTTTGTCTCTTTGGCCTTACAGTGTATTCAATTATTACTAATAACGATCACCAAGATTACAAAGAATTTAAAAATCCCGTTATTGATTCTGTAGCCTTTTATCATCATAGGCATGTACACTACCGTCGGAAATTGTCGGTACGGCTGAAGTGAGAGGAGTAGAAATTTGGTGCTGACTTTAAAGCAAGATATTTTAAGTTAGAAAAAAGATAGAGACTTCTTACTTAGATGGATGGAAAGCTGATAAAATTCTGCTTCTCAATGTATATGAGGAAATTTTTTTTCCTTTTTAGGGTTCCGTACTCGGTTCGGAACCCTATTAATATCGGTTTTTTTGAAATCGTGTACCCCCCCACCCCTAGCGGCCACACGAATTTATCTGGAAAGCTGAAATTTAGTACACATATGTATTTTCGCGTGTAGATTACAGGAAAAATATATCGAACTTGATTCAGATCAATTTACATAGCGTTGTCATGGAAAAATAAAAAATTTCGAAAAAATTGATTTTTTCTCCCAAGCGCCCACAATATTCAACCCAAACTGTTCATATTTGCTGCAAAACTGTATTTTTGCGTGAAAAATACAGGGAAAAAATGTAAGCGCGATTGGAGTTGATGATGAATTTTTATCAAATTTTTGACGAAAAATGATAAATTTAATAAAAATTGTATTTTTCCGCAAAAAACGAAAAAAATCGAGGGTTCCGTACTCGAAGCGAACTTATTTGGTATAAAAATAAATGTTTAAAAAATATGTGTTGTATGTTAAATAATATGTGATACAAAAAGAAACAATTTTTTAAAAAAAAATTTAAGAAAATTGTTCCTCCTTTCGTATAAAAACAAAAAAAAATTTTAAATATGTGTTGTATTTCAAATAATATAAGTGATACAAAAAGAAACAATTTTGTAAAATTTAAGAAAATTGTTCCTCTTCGTATCACTTATATTATTTGAAATACAACACATATTTAAAATTTTTTTTTGTTTTTATACCAAAGGAGGAACAATTTTCTTAAATTTTTTTAAAAAAATTGTTCCTTTTTGTATCACATATATTATTTAACATACAACACATATTTTTTAAACATTTATTTTTATACCAAATAAGTTCGCTTCGAGTACGGAACCCTCGATTTCAGTGCGAGTGTAACTCGCACTTGTCCGATTTTTTTTGGTATTTATTACACCCAAAAGATTTTAAGCAAAAATTATGCAATTTTCGTACTGTCGTACTAATGTTTTTGACTTCCGGCATAATCTAGAATAATGTATGGAAAAATTTGACAATTTTACAAAATAATCTTTAAGATCTCATCTTTAATTTGCATTTTTGAAACTATAAAAATGTTTTGTGGTTCCTGAAATATGTTAAAAAAGGTCCGAGCATGTTTTTCTACAAATCAGCCGTCGATCATCACTTTTTGCCGCCTCGCTTCTGGCTTGTAGAAAAACATGCTCGGACCTTTTTGAACATATTTCAGGAACCACAGAACATTTTTAAGTTTAAAAAATGTAAATTAAAGTTGAGATCATAAAGATTATTTTGTAAAATTGTCAAATTTTTCCATACATTATTCTAGATTATGCCGGAAATCAAAAACATTAGTACGACAGTACGAAAATTGCATTATTTTTTCTTGAAATCTTTTCGGTGTAATAAATACCAAAAAAAGAAAAAAAATTTCCTGATATACATTGAGAAGCAGAATTTTATCAGCTTTCCATCCATCTAAGTAAGAATTCTCTATCTTTTTTCAAACTTAAAATATCTTGCTTTAAAGTCAGCACCAAATTTCTACTCCTCTCACGTCAGCCGTACCGACAATTTCCGACGGTAGTGTATGTATAAATTTTATTGTTTAAATTATACCAGAGAAAAATTAGAAAACTTTTTTATAATATTTTTTTATTATTTTTAATCTAAAAATATTTTTTTCGTTCTTTACAGAAAAAAATTATATACGTAGTTTTTTATTTATTTATAAATGCCCAACTGTCCACGTTAATTATTTGCGTTCAAAAAATATTTAATCAATCGAAATTTTTTTAAACATATCAAGATTTTAACCCAACAAACACTATCACTGAGTATCAGACTAAACAGTTCAGTAGTATTAGTTCTAGGCTTAGCTAAATCTCAAAAATCAAAAAATTTTCATTTTTTTGAATATAATTTTCTAAAGTATCGAATATTTAAAAAAAATTTTCAACCAAACTTTATTTTTTTACTTTTTTTACCCGACAAAAAAGGTTTAAACAAAATATATAGAAATATATAGAAAATATATAGAAAATATATTTTGTAAGTCGAAAAAAACTCTTGACAAAATTTTTAAATCTTAACCCTTTTTTTAATTTAAAAAATTTTTTTTAAAAGAGAACAAAACATTATCATATTGTATGTTTTTGGGGTCGCTGAATTTAAATTTTTGGTCAAAAATAAAAAATGGCGAAGTAAAATTTAAAAGTTAACGAATCTGGATGAAAATTTTCAATTTTCTGATCGCCATTTTGAATTTTTTATTTTCGACCAAAAATTCGGATTCAGCGATCCCAAAAACCCTCGAGTAACCATTTTCAGCCAGATTCGTTATCTTTAAAAATTTTTTTTAGTCGCCATTTTGAAGCCGCCATTTTGAATTTTTTATTTTCGACAAAAGATTTGGATTCAGCAACCCCGAAAATCCCCGAGTAACCATTGTCAGACATAGTTGTTAACTTTTAAATGTTTTTTTTTTTATGCCGCTATAGCGGTCATAGACATAAAGGGTACGACTTTTCTGTGCCGCTATAGCGGTCAGTGACAGTGAAGGGGTTAAATATTGGCAAACTTAAAAATAAAAGGTTATTTCAAAAAAGTGCGAAAATTCATAAATTTCTCCAAATTCAATAAAAGTTATTAAAAGTTACTAAGGGTAACTATAGTTTATTGTGAGAATATTCAAATTTATTTCATTTTTAAAGAGAATTTTTTAAGGTAAACGCATAAAACCAAAAAGACTTAGATTCTTTGGATAATTATGGAATAAAATAAAAAATGCATATTACCCAAAAATTTACTTTGTAACGAGTGAAAAACATTGTAGTGATTTGTTTTTGTGTTAAAAAACGTAAAAAAGTCTATTTTGAATTTGATCAAGGTGCAAGTTAGCCTTAAAAAGTGACAGTTATTAATATTTATACAATTTCAATTTTAATTTAAAAACATTTTTAATGTTAGTTGAAGGATAATTGAAGGGCTTATTAGGAATAATTTTAAGCAATTTAATATTTAATATTTTTACAATTAAAATAACAATTCGTTTTATAATTTCCGCAAATGCGAGGCAATTATGGAACAATTTTTAAGTTTAAATAGCTCCGTCAATTTTTTTTTGTTATTGAAACTTAGAGAGGTAATCTTCAAAAGGGTGTTCACAATATATTTGAATAGCTAAAAAAACTTTTTTTTAACAATTTAGATTTTTGTCGAAGAAAAAAATGAAAAAATCGTGTTTTTTGTTCCATAATTTCCCTGGTTGAGGATATACCACTTTTTCTGTAAAGAAAGAAAAAATATATATCCGAATTTAAAAGATCACAGATAAATTTCTCGAGGAATCGCCTATATAGATTTGTGCCTCTTGCAAATTATTGGAATTTCTCGTAACTTCTTTAACTACGGTATATATATATTATTTGAGAATAGCAATTAACTTACTTTGTCTGATCGGTGGCTCTGAAATAAACATCATCTGGAGCATCCATCCACGAAATTACTTGCTTCCGAGCATTGCTTCTAGAAAGAGGTGGGTCATGAGGTATAGCGTGGGCGTGGGCAGCTCGTCCATTTAAAGGTGGTACAACAGACAGTGTCGTTGGAGTCGCATGTTCAACCATGTGTTTTGCATGTAACGTCTGTGAATGGTGAATTCTTTTTGGTGGTGGTCCACCAGGAATTCCAGCGTTAAGAGCAATACCTTTTCAAATAAAAAATAAAACCCTATTATTTTCAATTTCTTAATTTCATAAAAAGAAGTAAATAACTTTCTTCATTTTTAGGATCAAGAGTTAATTTTTGTTTGTCTAACTTCTTTTAGGATTCACAGTTCATTTTTATTAACGGTACAGTGACCGACACCTTGAGTATACTTTCAACTTTAAATGACATTTTATTCGTATTTATTATAAATTTAGTTATTAAATAAATTGTAATAAAAGATTTGGATTTAAATTAATATGTTTAAAATTGTATAATAAAAAATTATTTCTTACATTTATTAAATAATTCACAATTAATAAATGCCAATTCTGGTGATTCTTTCATAAACAATATTAGTTAGCAAATGAATAGCTTTATCAATTTTAAAGATCCGGAATTCAATGCAGTTTAGTTAGTTTATACCTATTTTGTGCACAATAAAAGTATAATGTTGATTTATTGGTCATTTTATATATGTATTATGCAAAAAATATATCTACATAAAAACTGAAGTTCACCATCTCATAACAAAATCTGAAATTAATTGTGGATCCTAAAAATTGATAAAAATATGGATTTGTTAATTAATATTGTTTATAAAGTAACCACTAGAATGGATTTTTATTATTTAATTTTTTATTTATAAATTAATAAATTTTCATTTATTTTTTCCCAAAAGAAATAAAAATGAACTCGACCCTAACAATAAAGATAGTTATATATTTGTTATCTAATATTCTTATAAAACTATTATTAATTATTTTATAACTAAGTTGCTTCAAAATAACGAAATATTTATATTTTATCAACAAATTTGTGACATATTGGTTTAGAATTTCTAAATTTCAAAAAATTAATTTTTTGACTTCCTATATGATTAAAACAAGTTTCAATAATAGTGATTTAACTATTTATAACTAATTAAAAAAATTTTCTTTAGTTAACACATTTAGACATTCTTTAAAGGAACTCCCGCTTTACTTTAAGTAATAATCAAACTTTAAATGCTAGTTTACTGCTGAGTTGTGTGATAATTTTAATAACTTTTCATTAAAAAAAAAGAAAACTGAAAATAATTAAAATTTGTAATCTACATTTGCCTCATTGTGCGTCAGTGGAAAACAAAAAAATAGAGATATTAAATAGAAAGCTTCATGCACAAATTTAAAAGAATAGTAATTTTGGAAACTTACCATCGGAACCATTAATTTCATCGAAAGGCCTTGTGCGTTTTAAAATGGTTTGTTGTATTTGCATAGTTGGCTGTGATTGAGGAGGTGTTAATGGCAGTCTATCCAGTTCTGGTTTATTGGGAATTCTTTCGTACAGCAAACTGCCATCTAAAGATAATATTAAAAATATTTATTGAAAAGTGATACCTTTATTTTTATAAAATAAACTATCATCAATGAAACTATGACTGTAGGAAGTGACAATAATTTTTCACTCAAAATTTTTTTTCCGCGTAATAATATTAGCAATTAATCAACAATAGGGGAGTTCAAAAAAAATATTCGAATTTAAAATTCTTGAATCCAAAACATTTTCTTTTTAAGTAAAATAAAATGTAATATCTTGAAAATACAAATTAATTAATATTAAAGCCATACGCAAAACGAATTTTTATTTTTTACAAAGAATCTCATTTATTTTAGGGTATAAAAATTTTTAATTATCAAAAATGTATTAAAATTTTTTTAATTAAATCGAATACTCCTATTTTTTCACATTTTTTTACAAACCTCACTTTTTACACACGTCTTTGGTAAGCGGTAAAATATATATTATAACTGATGTTCTTTTATAAACTTTACCCTTTTTTTAAGATTTTTGACAATTAAAAGCTTAATAAAATAATAATAGATTATCACGTTGCCGTAGGAAAGTGAGATTTAATTCAAAGGAATATATATTATTTACAAAACATTTTTAACTAAAACTCTGCAAATTTTATCATTTTCAAAAGTTGTAATTAATTTCTTCTACAATTTACTGATATTAATAATTTATATATTGAAAATATTGTTCTTTAAAAAATAATTTTAATTCACAAAGAATTTATTTATTTTTCAAAAAAAGTTTTATTGTACAGTAGAACCTCGATTATCCGAACTTCTTGCGGCTTTTCAAAGTTAAAATGCATTATTTAAATTTTGTTCATCATTCATACTTTTATATTTATCTCTTATATTAATCACTTTTTCCTTTCTGTCAATTCTTGAAATATTTTTGTATTTTTTCCTCTTCACACTATAAATTTGACTTTAGAAAATCATATCTACAAAACTTTTATAAATATAAGCACAACAATTTTTTAACTTCTAGAATGTTATTTGTTTTCGTTTTTCTAGAAATACTTAAGAGTTGAGATATAATATTTCAAAAACTGAATTTACAGGGTTGTTGCAGAAGTCTGTTTTTTACATTATTAATTAGAACTTTGCTACTTTTTATAAAAAAAATCGTTAATTTAGTATAGAGTAGTATATATATATGAAGCATTCTCTAAAAAAAAGACACCCCAAAAAAATGTTCTTAAATTGGCTTGATATTTTGATAAATTATAGTAAATTAATTAAATTATTACTTATATAAATTATAAAAGTAACAAAATCTCAAAATATAAACTTATTTAAAAAAAAATTTTTAAAAGTAGAGGGGATTGAGGGAAAAGAGGTTAAAAATGAAAAATGAGGCTTAATTTTGAAAAAAATAAGATTAAAAAATTTTGTATGAAAAAATACTTTTTAGGCATTAAAAAGTACATGAAAAACTGAACAAAAAACCCTCATGATAAAAATTAATAACCATAAAGTTTTGTAGAAGTTATACGGATTAGAAAAGAACCGTGTTACCTGAAAAATCAAAACTTCAATTCCCTCTATACTGTTTATAATTTTTGAAAACGTAAGTTTATATTTTGAAAATAAGGACAATAATTTACCAAAGTATCAAGCCAATACAAGAACTTTTTTCGGGGTGTCTTCCAATTTCCATAACTTTTCCAGGTCCTGTAGCAATCCTTATTCATTTTTTCAAAGTTGTTACTAAATTTTGATGAATTTAATCCCTGACTTTTCCATACCAAAAAAAATTTCCTGACTTTTTTTCCTAAAAATCTTAAAATTACAGAACCTTTTTGGAAAATGCTTCAATGTCCAAGCATAAAGTTTCTGTCTCTACTCCTAATAAAGAAGAATGCAAAAAGAAAATAACTAACCAGGTGCTTTTGGAGGTCTTGGAAACGAAACACGATCCGGTTGTTTACGTTGTGCTGGTGACGTAAGAGCGAGCCAGTCCCATTCACCGGGTTGTCGAGGTGATGGATGATCACCGAGACGAGTTGCAATGTCAGTAACACGAGGACGGGATCGAGGGCGAACGGCTCTTGCCAAAATTCGAAGTTCAGTTGAACTTTTCGACGTCAATTGTGGTGAAGCGCACAAATGTCTCAATGGAGCTGCATTAACTGGCTGATGAGGAGCTCGCGCCGCATGACGCGTACGTAATTGTGCTGCACAAAGTCTACGAGCCGCACGTGCCAATGCCGATGTACGTAAGTAAAATGCAGATCGAGTTTTCATTACTGGACGTGGTGAACCGCCGCCGCCACCGCTGCCACCACCGCCACCTCCACTTCCAGCGCCAGCACCACGTAAATCGACACCATGAGCGCTCGCGTAGTGACGACTAAGATGAGCTTTCAATTTAAATTCTTTACCGCATGATGGAATAGTACATCGATGTGGTCTGTGAGCACCGCTTATTCCTTTACACTCTTCATCGGAGCCAGCTCCTCCTCTTTTACGCTCTAGATCGGCATCGTCAATTCGCGAAGGAATCTAAAACAAAAGAAAATACAATCAATTTTCTTTTTTCTTACAATTATAATACAAGGTCAGTGGAACGCGCGAATATTCTCCACATTAGACCTGACGGAATTTTTGTCGTGTCCAATTAAAAACACAGGTCTACACAATCAGAATTCTTTATATATATATATAGAATAGGCCTAAGTTAAACCTTCAATGGTACACTGTAAGAACCATATGCGCAAGATAAAAATTTTTTTTTAAAGTTTGGAAAAAATTAGGTTCAAGACACCCAAAAAGTTTATTGGGGTTATAATTGCCCCATTTTTTCAAACTTTAAAAAAAATTTTTATCTTACGCATATAGGTCTTCAAGTGTATGTTTTAAGCTTTAATTTAAGCCTACACTGAGAAAAAAAACTGTCGTTTTAGTGGTAAAGCCATGCTATTTTGGCATGAGTTACAACTGCCAACAGAAAATTTATGTTCTAACATGAAACACTGCCGCTTTAGCATTGTGATACAGAGCGTTCGCAGTATCACAATGCTAAAACGGCAGTGTTTCATGTTAAAACAGCAGTGTTCCAATGGCGGTGCAACTCCTGCTACAATAGCATGACTTTACAGCCGTCGCGGCGGCTTTTTTTCTCAGTGTATATAGAAATCTCTAGCACGTCAGGTTAAGGAGAAAAAAAAATACTGAAAAACCCTCAAAAACACGGTTTTTTGAGACTTTATCGACACTTTAATAAAAATCCTAACGTGATATGCAATTTTGAAACCAGGGATCGTGTTCAATACACAAAATAAAATTGGAAACCACTCTGATATCTAATTAAAAAAAAAAAAAAAAAAAAAAAACCTTGTAAACCTGTGAAATTATCGAATTTTTATTTACAGGACATCAAACAACTTTCAGAATTTCTAGAATGTATTTTAGTTTTAATTTTTAACCAGAACTGAGACATTCTTACAACAATTTTCAAAATCGTTAATAATAAACTATTCAAAATACTGTCGTTTTCCCAGTTTCCATCCATGTCCCAGTAGCTGTCCATTTTACAAATATCTTCCTAAAGACCTAAATTACACTAAAAAATTTTTATTTTGATGAAATAAAATTTATTTTGATACAATTAAATCATTTACCTGTCTATTATCCACTAATTTCATATGTATTTGAACAGAATTATTATTTTAGTAAATTTCGATTTATCAAAATATTTACTTAACAGAATTGTCATTGAATAAATCCACAGTTAACAGAATTTCTATTTAACAAAATTCTTAACTAACAAAGTTTTTATTAAAGAAAATTTTAATTCCAACTAATTCTTATTTAACAGAATTATCATATAAGAAAAATTCTACATAGTTCTTTTTTTGTCAATTTTTCTAGACATAATTTCGTCAAATTGAAATTATATTCTTTTAAATCGAATTTAGTTAAATGTAAATTCTTCGATAATTTTTATTTATATTAAAAAACCAAATATTTAACTGAAAAAAATTAATTAATTGTTCCAAGTTAAAAAAAATCATTTGTTACATTCAATAAATAGTAGTAAATAATTATTTACCTAATGAATGTAAGATATATCACATGCTTAATAATTGAGTGTAAAGGCCAACTTTTTAATTTGCATTTGCTTTGGGAAAAAAGTAAAGAAAAATTGAAACTAATAGTTACTTTAATTTATTCTGAAAAAAATCCAGAAAATTAAAAAAATTCCCTGACTTTTTTCTGACTTCCCTGACCGTTAGACACCCTGATCTTGTATAATAATTTAAATTACATTTCAACAATATTTTGTTCTTCTTCTTCAAAATTAAACTGGAAGAAAACTGGATCTTAGCCGGATGGAGACTGGGACAACCACGGTACATCTAATTTAAATTCAAAAAACGATTTTTTTAACCCACAAATAATGAAAAATTATTATTCTTCAAAAAAAAATATTATGCTAAATTATGCTGGTCGAGAACAAAAAGATACAATTATAACATTTACGAAAAATTACAATTTTTTAAAAATAATTCAATTTTAAAATTGGAAAAAAAAATTTTACCAAGAAATATATTCAAAAAGTATTATTTTTCAAAAACTAGTTTTGTGCTAAATTGTTGTTCAGCACAAAAAGATTTTACTGTTTTTGAAAAATAATACTTTTTGAATATATTTCTCGGAAAAAATTTTTTTTTTCGATTTTAAAATTGAATTATTTTTAAAAAATTGTAATTTTTAGTAAATGTTATAATTATTTCTTTTTGTGCTACACTGACACAATTTAGCATAAAATTTGGTTTCGAAAAATAATAATTTTTTAATATTTCTGAATAAAAAAGCCTTTTTTGAATTTAAATTTGACTTAATATGAATAATTTATTATTAAAGATTTTGAAAATTGTTGTAAGAATTTCTTTTTATTCTGGTCTGACACAATTGTTTATTTTTAATTATACGTAAGTGGATTTTTGACCTTAAAAATGTTTCTTTTTAAATTTAAATTTTAAATTCGACTACTTTTTTAAAAAAAGTTAGCAGTACAAATTAGCACAAAAATTATTTGTTCGAAAAAATAAAATGGCGTTGCTAACTTCTTGCATGTCTAACTTTTTCCTGACTTATTCTACACGAACAACAATATAAAATAACTTTCTACTTACAAAGTAAAACCTAAATTCTCCGAAATTCTTACAGTTCAGTATTTACTTTGAAAATACTAAAAAATACTTTATTTTTGTTTCCATTTTTCTCCGTGTAAGTTTTTACCCTATTATGAATTACCTAATAAATGTAATATAAATTAACGGATTAAAATAGCCGATAAATTTACAAAAAATAAATCAATTTTAAAAATCCCAAAGAAAGGAGAATTTGAGGCGAAAAATCGCTTTAAGAAACAAAAATTTTGAAAATTAAAAGAAAATCGATTTTTTTATCTTTTTGAATTTTGATCTGGTATTTTTGGATTATATTAGCTGATTTTGATAAAATTAAATTCATTCAAACTCAACTTGACCTAACTTTCATATTTCCAAATTGTCATTTGTTAAAACTGTTAAAAAGTTGAATTTCCATTTGATAGAACTTTCACATATGTGATCATACACCCGGAATTGTAAAATCCACCAATAAAAAATTATCAAGAAAATTGTGATTGGTTGATTTTAAAACTCTTACTGAAATGTTTCGGCCCGGTGTAAAATCGGGAGAAGTCGGACAATTTGGATAAGTAAAAGTTGGGGCAAATGTAGTTTAAATGAATTTAATGTTATCAATATCAACTGAGTAAAATTTCTGTTAAATGGCAATTCTGCTAAATAAAAATTAGATCGAATAAAAATTTGCTTTAATAAAAGTACGTCCAAACTCAGTTCACTGAATTTGTCTGAGAGATGTTACAATTTAATATTTTTAAAAATCGAGTTTTTAAATATATAACAATTCAACATTTTCACTACTTCAAAAAATTGTAGTTATTGTAAATGTAATGATTGTCTTTTATTAAAAATTATAATACTTATAAATTAATTTCTTTTTCAAGTTTACCAATAAGTAAACATTTAAAAACTATTTTTTTAGGAATTAAAAAGAGGTGTTATGAAGAATTTTGTTATCTTTAAGATAAAAAACCATATATGTAACTCAGATAATTTAATGTTCCTTTTATTAAAATATTCAGAAATAGTTGCTTACATTTATAATTATATATCTAAAGAAAAATTGAGATCTTTATGAAAATAATCTTAAAAAGTTTCATAAATAAAAAAATTACAATACAGTTTTGTTGTTTAATGAGGTTAAGTCGGTTTTAATGATAGTAACATCAAAAAATTTCTTTTTTCCACATTTTTTTTACCCTTAACCAAAAAGTTCATAAAAATTGTGTCCTTTAAAGAAATATAAGGCGAACTTAAATTTCCAAATAACAGATCAAATATGCCGTCAGATCCATGGCAAATTATTGAGAGTTATGGAAATATTTTACAAATAATTAAAATATCATCAAAGCATGAATTTGTTTAGCTATGGGTTCAAAATCTTAAGTTAAATATTTAAAATTCGAAATTGTATATCCAATATAAGAGGAAGAAATTTCAAATTCATTAAATTTGACTAAATCTTGTTATTTTTTTTTTGTTAAACCACTGAATGAAAGTTAAAAAATTTGTAAATCTAAAAATATTAATTTTAAAATTCTCAAATTTCTTCTTCTAATTAATTGGTGAAAAGGTTGAAAGGTTATGAAAAAGTTATTTGAAAAAAGTGCGAAAATCCATGAATTTCTCTGAATTCAATAAAAGTTACTAAAAAATAGATGGCTTTCTTAATATACAGACAAAGAAAATATGTTATAGTTGCCTTTACAATAAAAATAACAATTTGTTTTATAATTTCCAGAAATGTTAGGCAATTATGGAACAATATTTAATTCGAAATAGCTCTGACAAAAAAATTTTTTTCTTAATGAAACTTGGAAGAAATCTTCAGAAGGATGTTTAATTATTTGAATAATTAAAAAATTTTGTTTTTTAATTTAGATTTTTGATGAAGAAAAAATTGAAAAAATCGTTTTTTTGTTCCATAATTTCCCCGGTTAATGGTATGTTAACAATTCTCAAATTTCTTCTTCCAATTATTTTCAAATAAATCTATAGCAAGTTTGTTGTGATTTAAGAAATGTTAATATAAAATTCTGTTGAGTTAATACAATTAGACGAACAATGTTAAAAAGAGTTCAATTTCTTTACCTTCAATCCGCCATATTTCTTCCAATAAGTCCAACAGGGTTGGCAAAGACGACACTGCATTTGAGAAGGACCCCAAGCATACCATTGCGTGCTCTGCATTGATTGACAACTTTCGCACGATTTCCCACCTACACCCACCATTAACATACCAGTGTCGCTTGTCAAATTTCCATTACTACTGCCATTAAGAATATTTGTCGCTTTTCCATTACTATTATTATTACTATTTCCAAGAGAGATTACAGTGGCAGATGAAGGTGCAGTCGTTGAAACTGAATTTTTATTATAATTTGGAATATAAACTTGCTTTAATTTACTCTCCGCCTCAACAGCTTTCACTCGTTTCTGTTGCACGTAGCGATCAGTCGTTTTCCACATGTAGTAGTATTCGATCACGTTCTTTAGTGTTTTCCATGGTAGCTGAATAAAGAAATTTTCAAAAAAATTTTAATACTTTCTGAATTAGCTTACTAAACTAAGTACAATAATTAATTCAACAAAAAAAAATTAATTTCAGACAATTTAATCCGTCTTCGTTACACTTATACAGGATTGGTAGACACTTTTTCCAATCCGCGTTTCCCAATGACTTTGTTCCCAATGGACATTTTTCCCAATGATCATAAGACATCTCTGCCAGTATTTCTATATAAATATACTTATAAAGTGAATTTTTTCACACATTTATTTTGCATTATTTAAAATTTTGGAATTAGCTTAAATAATTTAAATTGAAATACATTAAATTGAAAAGAAACTAAACAAGTAAATTGAATTTCATTGAAAGTGAAATTTTAGATTTGATTATATCTTGGAATCGATTCCAATTATCCATTGCAACAAAAAATTTTTTTAAAAAATTTCATTGGGAAAAAAGTCGTTAAGAAAAGAGTCCCCCTACCCTTATACATTATTCACATTAAAATGTTTTCTTTCTATTTAACAAATTTGTAAAAAGGATAAAGTGAATCATATGTTTTATAATACCAATTTTTCTATATCGAAGGAAATTATCAAAATTTTGAACAGTTTGGCAATAGTTTTCGTATTTGATAATGCAAAATTTTAAAAGTTCTGATAGGGCGCATAAATTAAATTAGTTAGAATTTTAATTTTAAAGAATTGTACCTATTAGATAGAACATTCTTTTAGCTAAATTTTAATTTTTCTAAATATTATTTAAAAGAATTTTATATTAAATCAATATTTATTTAACAGAATTTGTATGTTATTAAATTTTTATTTAACATAATTTTTTTTACCCAACTGTTTATTTAAAAGCATTCTAATTTGATCCAATTTTAATTTAACAGCTTATTCAACCTAATTTTGAGTGAGTTTATTTTTTAAATACAAGAATTTCTAATTCGCCAAATATTTATTTTAACTTTTATTTGACGAATTGTTATTTGCTCAAATGACAAAATAGTCATTTAAGGTGGTTCTCCGGCAAATCACTTTTCTATAAAATTTCTTTAAACTCTAGGAAAATGTTCCTTTTTATGTACTTTATAAGTGGTAAAAAACCCAGTACTCCTTGCCATGCTAAAAACTGAGAAATTTGGGTTCAAAGTTGCACCAGTTAACATAGAATTCCTAATCTGAACATGCAAAACTCATACATTTCATTGAATTATTTATAAAGTTTTCGATAGATTTTTTTTAAGAACGAGTATATTGTAGAATGGAATTAATAGAAAAATATAAAAAAAGTTTTAGTAGGGGTATCCATCCTTCATGAATTTTTCAAGAGAGTCAAGTATATTACTCGCTTGAAAAAGAGAGAGAAAGCATGACAGTGAAGTGAGCTGTTGATTAGTATAAACTAGTCGCAAGGAACTGAGCACCACTGGAGCCGGAGAATCTCATTAAAGAGAATTTTTATTTTACACGAAGAATATTAGCTAGAATTCTTTTATAGATGAATTTTCATTTATTCGAATAAAATATCTAGCAGAAAAATTTGAGCGCTAAATTTAAAATTAATCTTCTATCATAGGTTATCAAAGAAATAATTTAAATTTAAAATTTGCGCTCAATTTTTGCTCCGAAATATTTGTTTGGATAAATGAAAGTTCTGTAAAATAAAAATTCAACATTTTAAGAATTTTGTAAAATGTAAATTCGGCTAAAACTAAATACTAGGTAATGAAATTCTGTCAAATCAAAATTCTAAAAAATTAAATTAAGAGCTTAATTATACGACTCGAATATATTTTATAATATTATTTATAATATTTATAAATTTTATAAATAAAGTTGTCCTTAACTCTTGAAGACCTTGTGGTAAAACTACAATTTAAATTGTAGCCAATAATATATTTCCTTATAATTTTCAAGTACTTTACCACATTTTAAACATTTTTTTACGTTAATAGAATTTTAGGGTAAATTAAAAATACTCACAAAGTCTTGACGAATATCGGAGAAGTCCTTTCCATATTTATCGAGAGCCTCTTCAAAAAGATTTGCCTCAGAAGCACTCCATTCCTCCATTTCGTCTCTACATAAAACCGGCCCCGAACTTGGCACTAGTGATGACATTGATTTCGCAACATCATAATTATGTCGATGAAGTGTGTCCATTGCGTGAAACTACACACACAAAATAATATAAATTTAATAAATAGCTATAATGTTATAAAATAATATGGGTCGTTTCATATGATATGTTCATTCAAAAAATCTTTTTTGACAGGACTATTTTTTTGCGAAATATTTATGAAAAATAAGAAAATACGTATTTTTTTGTTTCTTTACTTGATAAAAATTATGAAAGTTATGATTTTTTTTTTAATTTAACGTTCTCAGAAGCAGAGAACTTTGGAAATTCCGTTTTTTTGTCCTACTAACAGATAAAAAATAATATTATTTATGAAATTTGTTCGATTTTTCTTCAATATTTAAAATATGTAGTAAAATATAACGTAACTACAACGGAGGCATCTAAAATTAGCAGTTAATTTTTTTACAGCAATAAAATTTTACACAATTTTCACTTAAAAATTTTAATATTTGAATGCATGAAAAACTGTATATTGAAAAAAAATATATAATACAACTTTTTTTAAAAAATAAATACGCTTTAGTTCCATATTTATCAAAGACTAAAAAAAAACAAATCAGTCACTTCGGTTTTGAGAAAAGACACTTTTTAGACTTAATTCCAATTTTTTTTAAATACTTCCGTTGTACTTACGTTATATTTTACTAAATATTTGAAATATTGAAGCAAATTCAAACAAATTTCATATATAGTATTTTTTATTTGTTAATCAGACAGAGAAAAACGCATTTCAAAATTCCTCGGCTTCTGAAGGTGTTAAATTTAAAAAAAATCATAACTTTCATAATTTTTAACAAATAATGATATAAAGAAATACGTATTTTCCTATTTTTCATAAGAATTTTGAAAAAAAATCTTCAAGTCAAAAAAAAATGGTTGAATGAAAATCTCACGTGGAATGCCCCATATACTCTTTTTAGTAGTAGCGTCCAATTCATTTCAATTGAAAATTTGAATAGAATTAGAGGTAAATTACATAAGATTAAATTTGAACTTACTAATGTGATATCCCTGGATGCTGCGGCGGCTGACATATGCAAAGAGGGTTGTTTAACTGAAGAAGAGCAATCTAGAGCTCTAGCGAATGTACCTACTGATCGGCTGACAACAAGAAATTGATCAATTTGACGATCCGTTAATGAATGACGTGGAGTCCAAATTAATGTTTCTAAATCCTGTAGTCTACGAGGATCAATTTCTTTTTCTGCAGGTGTCAGTGATACCGGAGCAATTCCGTCTGCTTGATATCTACTACCCACTCGAATTTCACCTTTAAAAGGCATTTTTTACAAATTAAAATCAGACAAATATTTATTTCTTTTTTCTTCACAAAAATTAACTTCTCACTTAATGGTCAATTGATTCAGAACCGAATCATTAGTTTTCATTAGTGAATTGTTTAAATCAAAGCTTATGTTTGTCAGTGACGCTCCTCGGATTTGCCCAATTACAGGTGGTTTCTACCTTCAAAAATACATAACCAACAAAAATTTCAAGTCTATCTCCAACAAAAGTCTCACAGTCGCCAGTTTAGTAAAAATTGCAATTTTTTGAAATTCAGATTGAAAAATACGCTTTTGATTTAAGAAAACGTGGATTTTGGGTAAAAAATATTAGAAATTTACTAATCACGGTGTAAAAAAGAAAACTTAATCGTCTCACACCCTCCACCAGAGAAATACGGTTTTCTAAAAGAATTATTGTTTAAAAAATCCACCAGATGTCGTAGTGCAGAACGCGCAACAAATCTTAGGGAGCATTTTCAACTCTATCGAAAGAAATAAAATTTTCCAATCAAAAAATTTGATTGGTTGTTCACAATTATACCCAAAAAATCTAAACTGTTTCTATTAGAATAAACAATAAAAATTTTTTGAAGGGTAAATTGTTATTTAATTTTATCCTTACCATGAGGTAATGACAATTAAAAATTTTTCCACGATTACAAAAAAATGTAATTACGCATGTAATTGTAGAAAATTTATGAAATATTATTTAACTTTTGCAAAGATTTTGATGTAATCTAAAATGAGGAACTAGTCAAAACAGAGACCATTACTTTCTGCTTTGACTAACTTGGTATCGTGGAACGTCTGATGGCAACACAGCACTTAAGATTAGTTGTGCACTCCTGTTGTGAAGCAAAGAATAATAGTATTCTAAAATGCCAAAAACAAAAAATTATGTGGAGAAATAAACTAAAAGTTCCTTTTTACAGGAAAAAAAGAGTCAGTGAAACAGTTTATAAAAAATGGTGCAAGCAGCAAGAATTATGTTAAAACTTTCTCACATTATTTTATAATGTTAGCAGTTAATAACAATTTAACTCACACAATTTAAATGAAATTGCTTTCTTTTGAAATTAATCTTAAATTCTTAATTTATCACTTTGAAGCACAGTGGTAAACTAGTGTACCATTTTGAATTTTTTGTTTATTGCGTCTAATTTTTTTGATTTTAAATGCTAAGTTCTGTTATTTTTGACCATGCAGTTTCTGATAAAGAAAAAAAATGTTTTCCTTTGGGTAAAAAATTCTTTCATTAAACGGTTATTCATATAAAAAAAACATATTTATATTTAATTTCACTGAAAACCTCGCTGAAAACATTTTTATTTTATTTTTTTTAAGAAGTTATTTATTAACCTTCGCGCTACCGGGAGCCACCCGGGGTGACCCAGCGATAGAAAATGTTTAAAATCAACTCGAGTTTTGCATCAATTTCTAAAATTACTATTAATATTACTATTACTAAAATACATTACTTGTAAAATACACACTATTATGTCGAAAAATCTTGATGAGTGTATGTCTTTTGTGCAACATAAAAATAAAAAAACGTTTGGGTCACCCCGGGTGGCTCCCGGTAGTCCGCGTATACAAAAAATTGTCGGTAGCGTGAAGGTTAACAATTTCCTTTTGTAATCTAATATAATTTTACAATTGTGATCAGAATCATGATTTTAAAATACCGCGCTCAAAACTAAGATATGACGTAAGCAGTTTCCAGACGTTGTGAGAATTGCTGGAAACATTTTTTCACGTTCTCTATATTTTTCTCTATTAAGTTTTCGTTTCCTTTTTCATTTAATCAAATTGGTCAATTCTATTAAAAGTCTTATGATTTTGTCACAAAAATATGCAAATTTTCAGTCAAGTAAGTTGACACTGACAAATTGAATTTTCAAAAAAACAAAACTTGTGTTAAATTGTGATAATTTAGTGTTATTTTATGCCGCAAAAAATTTTTTTCAAAAATTATTATTTTTCCAAAATGTGAAACTTGGGCTAAGTTGTGCACTGCCAGTACAACAAATTTCTCAAATCACTTTTTTTTAAATTAATTACTGTATTAAAAAACAAAAATGTATAAACTTGATTAATTGTTTATAATCCGTTTCTTCAATAATAATAAATAAAAGACTTTTCCAACAATTAATTCTTTGAATTCTAATCTAAAATTTTTACGTATGATTGGTTTTTTACATCCCGTTTGTTTTATAAATTAAAATTTCGAAAAACTGAAACTTGTGTTGAGTTGTGCGTGTTCAACGGAGTTCAACAAAACTTCGAAACGACTTTTTTCTATATATGATTACATTTTTGAAATTGTTGATTTAAGAAATTTGAAAAACTTGTGATTACCGAGTAAAACTCAGGGCAAATTTTATTTTTAAAAATTTTGAGTGTAAAAAAGACGCTCCAAAAGTAAATATAAGATTTTTTAATTAAGATTTAATTTTTAAACAATTTGTTTATGGCATAATATAGATGTATTTTGAAGAAACTTAACTTAACTGACGATATTTAAGAAATTTTTAATTTCAGTTTTGGGCCTTATAAACGTTTTTTCTATTTTGTGAAAAATATTAATTTTGGAACATTTTTTTGCGTCACAAAATAACACAAAACTAGCATAATCAGCACAAGATATGTTTTTTTGAAAATTTAATTTTTTGATAACAACATCCTGGACATCAAATTTTTTTTGCGTTTTGAAGTAATGAATTTTTAATAAAAAAGCAATTTTTAAAATCTACTGCATATGCAGAAATTGATAAAAATTGGATTGTTTAGAAAATTTCATATCGATTGATACTTTTTCACTATTTTTTGACCCAAAATTACATAATATTTTAAATACAAAATGAATTTTTCAATTTTAATTTTTAAAAATGTAATTTTTCACAAAATAGACGATTGCAAGTCTTATTCTTTCTGAGAAAAGAACTTGCTTTTTTCTGGTTTGTTGTAATAACACTCTTTTAAATACAGCACTGAGAAAAAAAATTTAGTGTTTGTAACAAAATTGTTTGGTTAGGCAATTTTGGTTCTTGTAACCAAATTTTGGTTGCCTGAAACAAAGTCGTAGAGTTATCTCAACCAAACATTTGGTTAGACCAACAAAATTATTTGGTTGAACATTTTTAAATTCGAACCAAAATTTGGTTACGAAAACAAAATAATTTGGTTAACACAACAAAATAGTTTGGTCTAAAAAACCAAATGATCGTTTGTTGTCCTATCCAAAATTTGGTTGCGACAACCAAATAATTTGATTTTGAACAGAGGTTCGATCTCAGGCGGAGATGAGATTTTTTAAAGTCCACAAATATTTCAATTGAATGAATATAAATTCAATGTTAAATTGATAATAAATAAGTAATGAAATAAATGAAAAAGATAAAAAGAAAAGAAATAGGGTCAGTTAGGGTAAATGAGGATAAAATCGCTATTTTCACAAATTACGTAAGTTTCTTCCTTTAAAAGATAATATTTGCAGGTATATATTTTTTTTAAGTTGTTATTTACTTTCCCAGGATTAATTTTATGCAGCAGAAAAAACTTTAGATAAGCTTTAAACGCATGAAACTGACTGTTCCCATTTACCCCAAAATTTAGAATATTTCATAAAATTTTGGGGTATATGGGGACAGCATAGTTTCTAAGAAAGTTTTAAGAATAAAGTTTCCTGAAGTATATTACTGTATTAATGGATGAAAAAACATGAAAAAATGTGTAGTAGATATATAATAGTTGAACCAATTGAATTTTTTTTATTTTTTTTTTATTTCAATATTTTGTCTCACATTTGAAGAAAAAACAGACTTAAAAATCATACCAAATTTTTTTCTTCTTCCTTATGACTCCCATAACAGAAATTCACTTGAATTTTTGATTTTTGTTAATTTGGTTAATAATGACAAGCTGTCCCCATTTACCCCAAAAATTTGAAAACTGAATTTATGGGAGTCATAAGGAGTAAGAAAAAAATTTGGTATGATTTTTAAGTCTGTTTTCTTTGAAATGCGAAACAAAATCCTGAAATTGTTTGACTTTGATTTTCAAGTTTTTATGCATTGAGCGATAACTTTTTTTATCTTGCTGCCAATTGCCAAGATAAAAGCTTGGCAATATTCAAAACCTCTTGCAGGTGATCTGAGGTTAAAATATTAACGTTGAACTTAATTTTAAAAGTGTAAATTAAGCTCCAAAACTCTTCTCCCCATTTACCCCAACTGACCCTAAGGTAGAATATAATTTGTAATTTTACAAAAAAACTGTTTGTTTGATCAACCAAACATTTTTGTTGACCTAACAAAAAAAATTTGGTTGAGCTAACCAAACATTTTTGTTATGCCAACAAAAAACATTCAACCAAATAGTTTGGTTGCTTAAATACCAACAAAATTTTTTTGTTGGCCTAACCAAATTTTGGTTGCTCTGACTAAACATTTTTCTCAGTGAGGGATAGTACATATATACAGGATCGTCACTAACAAATGTTTGTTTCTTATGTGGAATCGCTCTCTCTTTATTTTAAAATAAAATCGGTTTCATGTTAATGTTGCTAATATTAATATTTTTATTCGGTCGATGTTTCCTAATCTTGTGAGTTCACCCGGAAAATTAATCAAGGTATCTAAAAAAAAAATTTTCTAACTTTTTGAAGCAAATCGAACAATAGAAACACGTTTTAAATATTATTCTTTATGGGAAAAAACCATTTTTCGAGAATTTATTATAAAATCGTAAATAATTAATATTTTTCTACCGAACTACTTTGTTTATCTTCAGAATTGTTCAAAGAATGTCATTCAATTAATAATTAATAAATAAAACTCAGTATAAGAATATTTAAAAATAACAAAACAATTTTTTACAATTAAAAATGCACATTATTGAAAATTTGCCACTTTCTATTGTCGTTTAGCATTGACTCATTTTGAGTTGCAACAAAAATGAGACTAGGTTTTTTCTGTGTTTCTATATTTAGAGAATTCTGATTTACTAATTCACATGACGAAAGTTACGGATTAACTTTAAATCAGTTTCAATAAATATTATTCCGAAATTTGTTTTCAAGTCAATTCGTTTCATTTCGAAATGAAATTTTATTCCGAATCAATCCTGTTGGCTTGAAAATCAATTGATTTGGATTTATTTGGAATTTCATAATTTAAAAGGAATAATATTTAGCTTCCCCTGATTATGAATGAAATTTCAGAATTCAAAATAATTAAAATTAAGTTTTGGAATGATTCGAAAAGAATTTTTTGTTGAGTTACATAGAAATTTTAGATTTCCCTCGAAATAATATTTACCAAAACTGATTGAACCTCAATCTAAAACTTTTGTCAGGGTCAGGAATGAAGATTAAAAAAAGTCACGAATAAAATAATTACCTTTATCAGCGAGCAATGTACGTTGAGCAGGATCAAAAACTAAACAATAAAAAAATGAATCGTCCTTATTAAGATAACTCAATAAAGACTCAGTTTCATTTAATAGTGTTACGCAGCATTTGCCTCTAATGTGCGTGGCGGGCATCGTCTCTACTTGACGAGATAAGAAAAGTTCTCTGTGCTTCATTTGATGTCTCTGTTTCGAACTCAGTTCTGCAACACCTCCTGCACCAACCACACCTTCTTCCATCCCTATATTAAAAAAAACAAATTAAAACAAACATAGTTGTACAAAAGTTTTTCATATTTATAAAAATATATAATTCAAGATCATGCCGAAACAGTACATATGTAACAAAAAGAACAAATAGACAAAAAAAGTAAAATATTAGAATTGACTTGAAACATTCATGTCTTATAAATTTAATTTTCATAATATTTATATTATAATGGAAATGAATGAATATATTTTTTCAATAAATATATTACATAAAATACATGTAAGCGACATTTTTCTAATGTCAAAAATGACTATAGTCTCAATACTAAATCCAAATGAAAAATACATAATTTTTCAAACTTAGTTAATTTAATTCACAAGTTAATAGTATATTATGTTTCAAAAATTATATAATTAAGTTTTTTTCTTAAAAATAGATGTAATTTTATTTATTTCTGAGCACCAGTAAATTCTGAATATTTGTTTCAACTTGCACAAAAATTATACAATAATATGTAAGTACTCAAAAATATTTTCCTGATTCATTTTGCTAATCGCTTTTATTTTTAACTAGTGCGGTAATATTTTTCAAAATAAATGTTTAATAATTCTAATTTTTCTAAGATAAACTTTTACAAAGGAAAACAATAATGAATCAAAAAAATAGCGTTGGTTATACGTATACAAATTTTTAGATTTCACAGGTGCACAAAGATTAAAAATTGATATTTTCATAATTTATCACAACTATATTCATCATTTAAAAAAATAAATATAATATTTTTTTTAATTGACAGTACAATTTTTGTTTTAATATACCTGAAATTTTAATATATTTCATTGATTTAGAAAAAGTTTGAGAAAAGTTTTTCAGAAAATTATATACCATTCTATATAATGAGAATAAAAGAAAACAGATTTTTATCTTTTTTGCGCACCTATAAAAAGTAAAATTTTAAATTGGACAAATCATGCTCAACTCTACTTTTTTTTATTTATATTTTAAAAATTTTTTTCCCTGCGTTGATATGTGCCTTGGACAAGTTCCAAGCGAATCCCATCAACTTTTAAAAAATCGTCCTCCATATTGGATCTGCCATTTTTAATTTTGTAAAATTGACATCGGATTCGTAATCATCGTATTTATTTATTTTTTTTATCAGAATCAACAAAAAAAGTAAAAATTGATTTTTTTTAATGATATATTCCTTATAACTGTCCGAGGCACATAATTATTATCGATTCTGTAAAGAATTTTAAAAAATCGCATGTATTTCCAAAACATAAAATTGGGCTACAGATATATTAAATTAAGTTAAATTAAACAATAATTACATCATGTTTTCCATGTAAAAAGTTTGTAAATAATAACTTAATACAATATAACTTGTTTAATACTTATCTAAAGAACATTCTGGCACACGTGGAAATACTTTTTTGATATTACAAAATTTGTAATAAATACCTTTATTAAATTCGGGAATCTTTAGCAGGAGTTACGTTTTCTATCTTTTTTTTTTTTTTTTTTTTTTTTGATTCATTAAATCAAAAAATACATTCTTTAAATACAAAAAATATCCAACTTATATTTAAATGCAGAAATTGATATTTAAAGTCTGTATGATTTTAAAAATGTAAAGCATTTTATAAATAAAACTGTTTTTATAAATAGTAGATAAATAAATAGTAAATAAAAGTAGAAAGTCGTTTGATTCTACACACTTCAATAATTGATATTCGAAATCCACACTGAGGAATAAAAAATCTGTTTGTTTTTCAAAATTTGGTCTTCAAAGTCGGATAAATTTCGGACAACCACTGCCAGTAATGTTCGTTTACAAATTTCAAGCTACAGTGAGTTTCCGCATACTTAAAAGATTTCGCTTATTATCGACATCGATTTTAAAATTTATTCTAACGTATCGCAATTTTAATTCAAAGCGCACAAAAAATATTATTATCAGTGCTAAATACTATTTATAAAAAAACAGTTGACAAAATAAAAATATACTATATATTAGTAAAAAAGATTGCAAGTTTATATATTTATATATATATATATATTTATTAAAATGATATTATGAGTTAATTTAAAATTTATATTACTAATAATAACAATAATAATAATAATAAGAACAACCTTTTCCATTAACCCAATTTAAGCCTAGATAAAAGTTTGGACCGAATTCATTTCAAATCAGGCAGGCTGAAAATTAATATCTGCTCCTAAGTGTTGTTTTTCAAAGCTTTTTAGACAACACGCATTTTTTTGCCTGAAAATTTTTTTTTTGCGAAATTACAAAGAATTTAATTTTTCAAGTGGGGATTGTGGGGATCTTAAAATTAAGGACGTTTATACCCACAAATGCAGATATCTAGAAAAAATATTTATTTGATAATTAAAAAATTATTATTAATAATATCAGCTGGAAGAATAGATACTAAGTTTCCGAAAAAATTTAAAACTTACAAAAATTATTTATTTATATATTTTGAATATGATCAAAATATTCTTCATATCGCTTTTTAAATTTTTTTTAAAAATGATCTAATTTAAATGGATCATAATTTTCTTTCGTCAGAAAATAATTTTTAATATCTTCATCACTGGGATATTTAAACTAACGTACCGCTTTTTAAATATTGTTACTTATTTAAAAAATGATTTTAACTTTTTTAAAAAAATAACAATATTTAAAAAGTGATACATTAGTTTAAATATCTCAGTGTTAAAGATGTTTTTTCTGAAAAAAATAAGTTATGATCCATTTAAATTGGAAAATTTTTAAAAAATTGTTAAAAAGCGAAAAGAAGAATATTTTGATCATATACAAAATATATAAATAAATAACTTTTGTAGGTTGTAAATTTTTTTTTAAACTTAGTATCTTCTTCTAACGGATATTATTAATAATATTTTAATTTTTAAATTGTCAAATAAATATTTTTTTATGTATATCAGCATTTGCGGGTATAAACGCCCTTAAGAAAAAAAATTTTTAGGTGTTATAAATTTTTGACTAATTGAAATATTTCATTTCTTATTTTTGGCCCCGAAAGAGTTTTTAATCATTTCTTTCAATAATTTTTTTTTTTCGTTTCTACTGGGTCTTGAACTCACAGGTGATCTGTGTGCTGAGTAACAAGAAAGTACCTCATTTTTAATTTTTTGAACATTTTATAGGTAGAACTAATTATTTAAAATGTCTACTTTATAAAAAATTTTTGTTCTACGTTCAAAATTGTGCAGTGCTCACCATTTCACTTATTTAAGAAAACATGGTTTTTTTACATTCGCCACATATAAACGACGATTCCGACTTGGAAAATTAAATTCGTTGTAACTTCGTAAACAAATTTTTTCAGTATGTAAATCAAAAAAATACGTGTTGTCTAAACAGCTTTAAAAAACAACATTTTGGAAAAAAAATTAATTTTCAGCTCCAACGATATTTAGTCTGCCTGATTTGAAATGAATTCTGTCTTTGTATTTCTTAGATGTTGGCTGCCTAGTCATAAAGGTGTATCTCACGCACTGCTCAGTAAGCGAGTTTAAGGTGGTGGGAAATTTTTGACATTGCATTAGAAAGCGGAGACTCACTGTATTTTAAATTCATATTAAATTTATTTTTCGACCGAACTAATTCTACATTGTCGCGAAGACAAATTTGTTAGCCCAAATGTTCAATTTTTAGACAGAAATAAAGCCAAAATTAAGTTTGGTACTTCAAAATCATAGCAGAACTTGTAAATATTATTATTTGAAAAGGGTGCCAAAAATCATGTTTTTTCACTTGCTGTCTCTGGGTTATAAAAAAATATTGATGTTGTGTTTATTTCAAAATTTTTGTGTTTGTTGAAAGTTGAGGTGTCAGTGAACAAGAAAATACCAAAAAATAATTTTTTTCATTAGGAAATATTACATTATTTTTTAAATACAAAATGGTGGATATAATATGAAAGATCGAAATTTTGAAATTTGTTACTTGAGGTTTTTAAAATATCTAATTACTAGTCTAGCTAGGTTAGACTTATCTTCCTTTTTACAGTAATTTAAATAATGCTGAAAATGCAATTTTTTGACACTGCAGCCCGTTTTTTATGAGATTATCTCAAAGGAAAATTGATTTTTGGTATCTTCTGCTTCGATGACACCTAAACTTTTAATAAACACAAAAATTTTGAAATAAACAAAAGGGCAATATTTTTGAATAACGTTATGTTATACTTAAAATTAAATATCGCATCTGAGTATGCTCCAAAATAATAATAATAATAATAATAATAATAATAATAAGGGGGCACATGAATAAGCTCTAAAATTAATTTTTTCCAATATTCATTCAACAGAATTTCATTACTTACAATTTACTTTTTGCCGAATTTTTATTTTTACGAATTATTATTTAATAGAAATTTATTGTATTTAATCGAGTTTCTATGTTAAAGAATTGTTACTGAAATGAATGTTCATTTTACAGAATTATTATTTGTTAAAATTTTTATTGGATAGAATATAATAGTTATTTAAAAGAATTTTTATTATACACACGGAGAGAAAAAATAAGCGTTTGTAGCATGAAAGTTCTACCTTTAAACGCATGGGACATCAGCATACTACGATTGCACGAAGTTATGCTTTTTCGGTATAGTTTTATGCAACTGTAGTATAAGGCCACGTCTCTTAAGCAGAAACGTCCATACAAAATTAACATAGAGCGCCCCCATACTACAAACCTTTGATTTTTCTCTACGTGCTCTCTAAATCTGAATAAGTGAAATTTCACTTAAAATGTGTCAAAAGTCTTCCACGTAGAAAAATAAGTGTATATGCACTTTTAAATAAGTGGTTTTCACTCAAAAATAAGTGAAGTTTCACTTATTTTTAAGTGCATATACACTTATTCTTCTACGTGGAAGACTTTTGACACATTTTAAGTGAAATTTCACTTATTCAGATTTAGAGAGTGCAGGAAGAACATTAGAAAGAATTATTTTCTAGCCGAATTCTAATTTATTCGAATTTATATTTGACAGAATTATTAAAATGCCGAATTTTTATTTTACAAAACTTTCATTTGTTCGAAAAATTCTGGCGCAAATTTAAAAATTAACTAATAATAATTTCGTTGATAACTTCTAATTAGTGAATTTTAAATTTTGCGCCAGAATTTTTCTAACAAATGAAAGTTCTGTAAAATAAAAATTCGGCATTTTAATAATTCTGTCAAATGTAAATTCGACTAGAAAAGAATTCTTTCAAATATGCTTTCTGTAAAATTAAAATTCTTTTAAATGACTATTCTGTAATATAGAAATTCAGTTAAATAGAATTTCTATTCAATAATAATTCGGCTGAAGGTAATTTCTAAGTAATTTATTTATTTTTTATTTATTTACACAAAATCCTGCAGCCCTTAAAGCACCATAATGAAATTATGTGAAATGAAAATTTTGGCAAATTAATTTTTATTTAATTTAATTTCTTTTTACCACCACATATGAATAATATATACGGTCCTTAAGTGTTGACACTTCTCAACGTCAAAATGGCGTAAAGGACAACTTCCATCCATTGCATATAAGACTCGAATTTTGCAATGGACAGGGATTCCAGTACAGTTGTAATATTTAACGATTTAATAACGAAATTGGTTATAATCAAGGCAGAAATGACTGTTAAGTAATTGTATGTATGTAATGTACATATATATCAGATTGAATGAATTCAAAAATAAAGAACTGAAGACCAGAAATAATAAACACTATTTCCTATTCGTTTAATCATTCGAAGATCAAATGTTTTCTGACTATAAGGGTTAAGATTTTAATGAAAATGCTATGTCATAAAGCGTAGCTCTGCGCATTGACAATGAGGAGTGAGTTCAAATAATAACACGTTTTACTTACACATTCACTGCTAGTGAAAATGCCATACTGGATTGTTAAAAAGAATAAAAGAAATTCACTTATTATAGTGAAAGTATAAGTGTAAGTAAAAAAACTGCATCCCTAAACGGAAAGGTTAGGTGAAAACGCTACCGAATTAAACATGTAAAATACCGCTTGTAATTTGAAATTTTGTTTTATAATCTTAGTTTCAACTACGTAATAAAATATCACAGCCAAAAGGAAAGACATATATCCACTAACTGACGAATCCATAAATGATTAAAAAGTAGAATAACACGAATTTCTTTTTAAATAACAAAGAATTGAAAATGAAATTTTTTTTTGTAAAATCCATAAATTTGAATTCGTCAGCAATGATAACCTTTTGATTGATTATTATTAAACTCACCGTGAGGCTCTTGGGCCTCCGATAAAGGGGCTTTTAACCAGACTCCCTTCCCACCACCTTTGCTCATCATTTTAGGTGCGCTCTCATCTTTATTATGCATTTCCTTAGTAGACTCTGGAATCTCGAGTTTGAGATTCTGTGTGATGGCAGGGGATTCAGACCTCTGCTGCTCTACGCTTGCCACTGTAATTTTTTTCATAAAGCTCTGCTCTATCATTGACTACATAAGTTGGTAAAGTCATTTTCAATTTTTTACAAAAAGTCTAAGAAACAGAAATTTCTTTATTTTTTTTTCCTTCGCTTCATTTTACATCTCTTTTGATAACACAGTAAAAACTGTATTTTCCAAAATAATTAATTTTCTGAGAAAGATGAATGTTAAATAAAAAATTATTAGATTCTCATTAGTAAGTATCTACAAAATTTGTATAATAATTGATTATCGTTATTTTGAAAATTTGAAATGATATTACCAACTTATAAAATACTGTTGACATAATATTCACAAGTTTTCATTTGATTGTACAGTGAGATTTTATACATTGTTAAAAATTTTGCAAACGAGCGAAAAAAATCTCATTTTGAGAAATTTCATATTTAGTTTTCTCTCACATGTAATAATACCCAAAAATGACATACGCCGATTTCGCCGAAAGTGTTGATTCTAATAGTACATTAAAAAATATTTTAAAGACATTTCTTTTGTATTTGATATATTTTTGCGTTTCAAGGAATGAATTCATACATTTCAGAAAAAAACTTCCTTGAATTTTATGACACTTGGCATATGTAACGCTCATGGAGCAGTACATTTATTTTTAATTATGTAAAATCAAAATCAGTTTTTATTGTATATTTTGAATCTGATGAAAACTTAAACATCAGTGGTTTGTATTAGGAGTTAATCATCTTTTTGTAGTATCACTCTAAAAACACACTGAAAAAAAATTTATTTGATTCAAATACTCGATTACTTGACTATTATCAAATAAATATTTACTTGAACCAAATAATTTTTATTTGAATTAAATAAATTGTATTTGAACCAATAATTTCTGTATTTGAGCAAAATACCATTGACTCAAATAATAATTATTCGATACAAATAAATATTCATTTGATAATAGTCAAGTAATTGAGTATTTTAATCAAATAATTTTTTTTTCCGTGCACAAACATAACCTAAAATTTTTTTTGCTGATGAAGCCCCTTTCACCGTAGGGCGTCACTTATGGCGATTCTCTGAGATTACTTACTACGAATATGAAGTCAGTTTTCAACTGTCAAATCAACATTGGAAGAGGAAAATTTTAGAATTAATTGAAATCTGTTACTCGGGTGTTTTTGGAGTTCCTAAGTACGGAATTTAAAATTACGTATCTAATCTGTCAACTAAAAAAAATTTTTAATTTCATCGGATAGCTCGAAACTTGTTAATCGTGGGTTTTTGGGATCGCTGATTCCAAATTTGATATCAGATTCTAAATTTAAACAAGTTCCGAGCGAATTTGATCAAATTTAAAATTTTTTATCTCCATATTGGATCCTCCAGTTTAAAAATTTTTAATCTGATATTAAATTTGAAGTCGGTGATCCCAAACACCTCCCAGTAAGTTTCAAGCGAATCCGATGAAATTAAAAAAAATTTTGGATCCACCATTTTGAATTTTTAAAGTCTGACATCATATTCGTAATTAGTGACCCCAAAACCCCTGAATAATAAATTTCAAATGAATTTAATTACCCTTAAAATAGAAAACGGATTAATTTAAAAAGTAGATATAAAATATTCAATGTACTAGTAGTATGAATAGTTTCAGCGAAATTATTCTGAAACATCTGGGTAGTGTTACCTGTCAGTTTCGTCTTTTATTTGAGTTATATCCAAATGTATAATATAATTTCTAGATCAGCGAGATTTTATTAATTCAGGTTTAGAAAATCTATACAAAAAGAAGTACCTTAAAATACATCGAAGTTACTTTTGAAACATTTAAAACATATTTTTTAAACAATTTTCATCTTAAAAATTAATGCATTTTAAGATGGTTTTAATAACTTTTTGGAAACATCTTAGAACACTGAAAAAATGATATTCTAGATTTAAGAATGCCTACTTAAATCTAGAATATCCTTTTTTCAGTGAAGTGACTACCAATGTGTCTTATGTCTTCTTTTTGCAATATATCGAGAAAATTTTAATTTATTTAGATTTAGAAAAAATGTATTCAATCAAAAGTTGAATTAACCTACATTTGTTCGATACAGTAAAAATAAATTGTAATTTTGATTAAACATTTAGTTCCTCATAATTAATGTATTTAATTCGATTTTTTATCCAGAAATTAGATTTCTATATTTAAAGTAAAACGCTTTTGGTGGTATATTTAAGAGGGACCGTCACGGAAATTTTGTTTTGTTTCGGTTCGGGTAAGAAACGAAAATCCAAGGTGAATTTAATTTCATATCGAAAGTAAGACGACAATTGTTTTGCGTCACTGAGTTGTCAAATTTTGTCTTTTCGAAGAATTAATCCTGTAAATTGGATTGATTTTAAGGAACACTAACACATTTTAATTATTATACAGATATAACTAAATCACACAATAGTGACTAATAATAATCTGTAAAGTTTTGTCATCAGAAGAGTTTGTGACCTGTAAGTCTTTCAAGCTTTTCTTATCATAGATATTTACAATAATAGTTACCAATTCTGTTTACTTGATAATTTCCTAAACTAAATTAAAATATAAACAATTCTTTAAAATCAATCTGATTAACATGATTACTTTTTTGATAGACATCACCGCTGGAAAACTACCTTAATAACATAATTTTCGGACTTAAAATGTAAAACTAAACTCAGTTTTTTTTCGTTTTGTGTTCAATATAAAACTGAACTCAATTTAGATTTTCGTTCTGTGTTCGACACAGAACGTAATTTACCGAAGACTTTCGCTTTACTTTAGTTGAAATAAAACAAACAAAATGGTTTGCTATACTCTTTTTTCGATTCAGTGATGGTCCCTAGATGTTAATCTGATAAATCAATAGAAATAATATAAAATTTTAGGGGTGAATAATTTAACCACGAAGTATTGTTCGGTTTTTTCAAAAATTGTCGGAGAGGGAGGGGGTTGAATTTTTTTGAAAAATTTAAACAGTGAATTTTTGAAGACTTGTAACTTTTAAACAGAAAGAAGAAGAAAAATTTGTCCCATATGTTTTCGAAAGGATTTAAGTTCGGTCCTTTTTATTTTTTTATTTATTTTTTTTTTGAAAGCTAAAAATGTGTTTTTTCACCACAAAAAATATTAAGATGTCCTTTTTTGTTATTTTCGAGATATTAATGAATTAATTAATGTTAATAAAAAATGAAATATTTCACAAATAAATAAAGTTATTGCAATCCTGAAGATGACAATTGAAAGCTGACGTAATTCCGCATCCAACGAGCCCTATAAAGACTATTTTGGATTAAAGGATTTTTTATAAACAATTGCCATGTTATATAGGGCTCGTTGGATGCGGAATTTTGTCAACTTTCACTTAGTAACGTCAGAATTATGATAACTTTATTTGTTTATAAAATATATCATTCTTTATTAACCTTAATAGTTAATTAATTAACTAAAAATTGTAAATAGGTATTATATAAGTAAATAAAAAAAATTTTGACATCTAAGTTTTCTAAAGGTTTTTTTGTGCTCTTTCGATTGGTGAAAAAAAAATCAAAAAATTCAAAATTTCACCCTTTTTTCTGAAAATCAAAAATTTTTTTGTCTTTTATTTAAGTTCTGTCTTTTTTTTTAAATTTATTTTTATTTTTTTTTCAAGCTAAAAATGTGCATTTTTAGCTCAAAAAATATTGAGATGTCCTTTTTCGTTATTTTCGAGATATTAGTTAATTATTTAATTAATGTTAATAAAAATTTATATATCTTATAAACGAATAAAGATATCGTAATTCTGACGTTACTAAATGAAAGTTGACAAAATTCGGCATCCAACGAGTCCTATATAAAGTACTTTGGGTTAGTGGATTGTTAATAAACAATTGGCTAACATGGCAATTGTTTATAAAAAATTCTCTAATCCAAAATAGTCCATATAGGGCTCTTTGGATGGGGAATAATGTCAGCTTTCAATTGGTACCCTCAGGATTGCAATAACTTTATTTATTTTTGAAATATTTCATTTTTCATTAACATTAATTAATTAATAAATTAATATCTCGAAAATAACTAAAAAGACATCTCAATATTTTTTGTGGTGAAAATACACATTTTTAGCTTTCAAAAAAAATAAATAAAAAAAAAAAATTCGAAAAAATGTTTAATTTTCAAAAAAGGGCCAAAATTTGAATTTTTTAAAAAAAGTTTTACACCATTCGAAAGAGCAGGAAAATACCTTTCGAAAACATATGGAACAAATTTTTCTTCTTCTTGCTGTTTAAAAGTTACAAGTCTTCAAAACTTCACTGTTTAAATTTTTCAAAAAAATTCAACCCCCTCTCTCTCCGACAATTTTTGAAAAAACAAAACAATACTTCGTTGTTAAATTATTCACCCCTAGGGCTAAACTATGTGCAAGTTACAGCCCGATCCGATCAGATTTTTTTTCACTTAGTTCGCTACAGGAATTTTACCCCAGGTAAATAATTGAAATAATATTGCTGCAAATTTTCAGACTATAAATGAGTTTATTACTAAATGACCTAAATCTCATTATTGAATAAATGAGATCATTTTAAAATAATTGAGTTCGTTTCCATTAGGTAATTATACATTAAATCACAGTTTTATTTATTTAATTTCCTAATTACGGTAAATTGAAAAAATGTCTATATTTGCCAGTAGTATAAAATTTATTGATACACGGAGAGAAATAGATGGTAAGAACTTGTGATCTTATAAGATGGTAAAAAGTAGATGTTATCCGGTACTATCATTATGCTACTCGGTACTATCAAAGATGTTACAAAAAGTATGGTTATGTTACCCACTACAATCAAGATGTTACTCCGTACAATCTGGATAGTAACTAATAGAATCTAGATTGCTGTCCGTATATGTAAGATCAAATATGGTACCTGGTACTATCTAGATAGTACCCCGTACCATCTATTTTTCTCCGTGTCATTTTAAATAAAGAATCTTTATTTCATTACTATATGTTTTTGA